TGCTCCCATCAAAAATAAACTACCTCTTGGGAAAATGAAAACTGTTCCCTGTGTTTGCTAAGGAGCCCTTGGGTGGCACACATAGCTGGACATTCCAGTACTAACTAGCCAGGAGCTGGAATCCATCCAGAGGCCTCGGAAGAAAGGCCTGGCCATTTGCTTCTGAAACGTCACAGCCTCGAAAACCCTCGGCACACAGGAGTTGCTATGTGTCAGAATGGACTTGACAGTGACTAACAGCAACATTTACTATAGTACTGCAATGTACTGATTTCTCTCCGGACTAAATAAAATCTATCAAGAAGCTGCTGGTGCGCGGTGACAGATTGTTTTGTAAAGATGTGCACACACTCATTTGTTCAGTAAAGCTTGACTGTGGGCCAGGCCCTGCTGTAGACACTGGGGGTAGTGTGGTGCCCATGACAGATAGCCTCATTCATTCATTCTCAACATTTCACAGGGGCACCACCATGTGTGCCCTGGGCAACACCCAACAGATGGAGCAGGGGCAAGGGCACATGGGAAGTTCTAGCTGGTGTCACAGACTCTGAGCTGTAAGCCCCGCCACAGGTATCCTCTCCTGGCTGACGCCACTCAACAGCTTAATGGCGAGCACCATGTGTCTCAAAAACAACCTCACAGCCAGGTGATGGACTGTGAGTAATTGATTTGGAAGAAAATCTAATTCAGGTCCCAACTATGGAACCATGGTGTAAGTACACGAGCTATCTATCTATTCCCAGAAATGACACAATACACATTACCATGAGATGCTTTCCTATTTTAAAATGTTGGTGTTTCTTTTTTACCTTTTCCTTGTGTACACTGTGGTGTTGGAGGTAAGTCTGGAACTCCATCTTGCTCAGAAATATTTTCGTCTTCTTCACTGTCTACCCCATGGGACAATGGAACCTTTGTTATTAAAAAAAAACGAAAGAAAAAAGAACAAATATGTGATCATAAATTTCTTAATAAACTCTAAGATCTGATTTCAGCCCTCCCCTCTGCTATGTCTCTCCTCAAGCAGCTGAAGCCACTCTCCTTGGTAAGACACAAAAGGCCTAATTTAGCAGTGATGGATGAGACCTCTGGTCCCCTACGGAAAAGCCCGGTGACAAACACAATAACACCCAAGTTATGCTACCTAAGGACAGCGCTGTGGTTACACACCAGATTGCTAACTGCAAGGTTGGTGGCTCAAACCCATCAGCAGCTCTGTGGGAGAAACAGGAGGATGCCGGCTCTTGTAAAGCTGTACAGACTTGGAAACCCTCAACAGGGTCGCCATGACTCAGAACAGGCTCAATGACAGCAGGCGTGGTTTTTGGATGAAGTGTACCACCTGTGGTCCCCTGGCAGCTACCCTTCCTTACTCCTGTCAGGGACCAACCCATGAAAAGGGGCTTCACCTGGCCCACTCTGCACAGGACCTAATACTGCCTTACCATGGTATTGACACCACAGTATTAATCTCTAAGGGGACAAGATCTGCTGACCAGCAACTGCTTGGAATCGAGGCTTACTTTGTTCATCAACCTGTGCGCAGGAATATAAAAAAGGTCACCTGGTTTCTGTGTGGTACAGCGTAGACAGCTTGACTGTGCCCTCGCGCTGTGTTCCAGGCACTGACGTCCCCCGACTCCTTGCAGCTGGATGACAGGAGTGCATCTTCCGAGTCCTCTTCCTCTCCGCAGCCCAGCGTTTCAAAGGACGGTAGAGAAGTGCCTCTGGCCAGCTCACTCTGCCAAGCTGGTCTGTGGCAGGAAACCAGAGAGCAAACCAACCGACCACTGAGGACTGCACAGCAGGAGCATTTCCCCCACCTCCATCCCACCAAAGAGTCAGGATGATGAAGCGACAAAACTATACAAGTAAAAGATGAATCGCCTATCTGTTCTCTTTGTAAACCTGACACATTCATTTAGATCTTCCCTCTGCTTTCGTTGTGGCACTGCGGGTTAATGCGCTGGACTACAAAGTCGGTTTGATCCACAAGGTTGGCAGTTCAAGCTCACCAGCCATTCCTCATAAACCCTATACAGGGTCGCTATGGGTCAGAACCGACTCAATAGCACTTAAAAACAACAATAACATCACTGCTGAATATACAATTTATCTTGTTAGTCAACACTTTTAAAGGTAGGATCCGCGAGTTTAGTCAACCATTCCCTTTACCTGTTGCTGTTGTTAAAGAGACCTCACTTTGGTTCTGACTCATAGCGACGCAGTATAGGGTTCCCAAGGAGTAGCTGGTGGGTTTGAACCGCTGACCTTGTGGTTAGCAGTCCAGGGCTTCATCCCACTGCACCACACCAGAACGCCTCCCTGTACTTAGGTTTATTCAAGTGTTCATTGTTATAATGACATGTGCATGAATTTAACAGAAAACTGATTTGCTCTGTAAATCTTCATCCAATTCACAATAAAGGGTTGGCTTCTTGTTTGTTTTTTTAATTCATTGTTATAAATAATCCTGTAATTATGAACATCTGTGAAGATAACGTCATTTTTGCAAAGCCGTTTGAACTGTAAGGTCAGAGGTTCAAGCTCACCAGTTGCTCCTCGGAAACCCTGTATAGCGTCTCTATGGGTTGGATCCGACTCGATGGCACTTAACAACAACAACAATGTATATAACCTCTTCTGTATTTAGATAAATCCTACAAAACAGTTAACAGGATCACCGCATAAATCATGCTCCCAACTTGTGACTATACTCGTTATAATTTCCTGAAATTTGCCAAAAGAATTTAAATCTCCTGGTCTGAATGGGTACTTCCTACTAAGACTGACAGTTTTCCATCTATTCAGTTGGTGACAGTGACAGGGCTCGTGTGCCGTGGAGTTGGTTCCTGAGATGGTAAATCTTTACGGGTGCAGAAAGCCTCATCTGTCTCTCGACAAGTAACTGACAGATTTAAACTGCGGACCTTGTGGTTTAGCAGCCCAGCATGGAATTCACGCGCTACCAGGGCTCCTTATATATTCGGTTGGTTGACTGTGTACTGTAGAGTCGGTTCCGACTCAGAGTGATCCTGTACCGGGCTGCCGAGGCTGCACATCTGGATGAGAGCAGAAAGCCTCACCTTTCTCCTGCAAGGCAACGGGTAGATTCAAACTGCTGGCCCTGAGATTAGTAGCTCAGCTCGTAATCCACTATACTACAAGAGCTCCAGCTATATTTAGGTTGTTGTTAAGTGCCGTTGAGTTGGTTCCGACTCATAATGACCCTGTATAGGGTTTCCAATAAGCGGCTAGTGAGTTTGAACCACTGACCCTGCAGTCCAGTGCTTATCCTACGACGTCACAGGGCAGCCACGTTCTCTGTCACGATCTACTTTGATTCCAATACACACACTCCAATTTAAAATTAACTTTTCACCTAGTGAAAGTACAGATATTTTTCCTATCCTATTAATTTTATTATGGTTATGTAAGTTTTCAAAACACATGACTTCCAAATGTTTTGTTTTTTAAACTTTCTAAATTCTTAGCACAGAATTAACAGGCAGACATCTCCACCCCAGGGGTCTGATTAGGACTAGATATGGATTTTCTATATCTAGTCTAGCTCCAGATAAAGATTTATAATCTTAGAAACTCTGTATAGGGTTGCTATGAGTCGGGGCCAACTCAATGACAATGGATTTGTTTGTTTTTTTTTGTTTGGAAGTATGTGTCTACACAAACAAATCTTTTCACTCAGTCAAAATTTTGTTTGGTGTATGATATTAGGCAAGGGTCAATAGCTTTAATTTTTCTTCTAATATTTTTTCTATTACTTTTCTAGTTCAACATTTTTAAAGCCTTCCCTTGCCTTATGACCTGTGAGCCAACTTTTATTAGTGATTCAATATGCTGTGCCCAATAGCCTCATCACTGAATGCTCCTGTCATCACTAAGCTGGTCCTGAATGACTCGAACAACATTTCAAAATCCCATGGGGTAACCTGGCCTGTCCCCTGCACCATAATTTCCCTCTCCAGATCTCCTTTGATGGCCACACTGCTTTATTCTTGTCAATACATCTTAGAAACATTTCCACATCTTCAGTTCTTACTCAGTCCAAGTATAAACTCTTCGGGGGAGGAAACAGGCTATCATTCAAACATCTCAAAATGGATTCAACATTGAAAAGTAAAAACCCAAAAACAATGTCCTAGGAAGAAGTAACTGAGCATTATAAAATAATGTAGGAGTCCTGGTATGGCACTGTAGGATAGGCAGTGGACTGCTAACGACAAGGTTGGCAGTTCAAACCCACCAGCTTCTCGGAAACCCTATACAGGGTTGCTATGAGCCAGAACTGACTCTAACAACACCACCAACAACAACAGTTACAAAGGAGGTAAGGCGAATGCAAATGTTGAGAGAAGGAATGAGGTGGCACAACTCTGACTGTCTCATTCCAGAACACAGGAGCTTACTAAGGATTAAAAGCAACACTCAATGAATTGGCTCTGGGTTACCAGGAAAGTGGGCAATGGTTGTACAGACATGACTTACAAGATCCACTCAGGGAAAAATGCTGATACAATGTAAGAGCACTGAATGCCCCAGGACAGTGTCCCTTTGACAATGATGAGGCAAACCCCATTATAAATACACGTGTGCACATGCGAGTGTACAAAGACGCACATGCTCACACACACACAATGCCGGACTGCCTGCCGCTATCCCGAGAGGACTTAGAGCAGCAATATGGCTCCTACCGAAGCCTCAGCTCTGAGGTGGTGGCGTAGGGCTCGATGAAGCTTTCCTTTCCCGCATACGTCGTGTCACTCTCAGACCGGGATCTCTGGCGAGGCTGAGGAATGGCAACGGTCTGTCCAGTCAATGTGGTGGCCAGGATGGCGGCAGCCAGAGCAGATCTGCAGACAAACCATCCCAGCAAGACAGTGAGCTTGGAACATTCAGGCTGAATGGGAATCACAGGGCATAAGAATGAGTTAAGGCTGACCTTCCCTTCTCCTATTGTCACTGCAGTGTGCCGCGTGCCTCAAGGCTGAACTTCCCTTCTCCTATTGGTCACTGCAGTGTGCCGCGTGCCTCAAGGTTGAACTTCCCTTCTCCTATTGGTCACTGCAGTGTGCCACGTGCCTCAAGGCTGAACTTTCCTTCTCCTATTGGTCACTGTAGCGTGCTGTGTGCCTCAAGGCTGAACTTCCCTTCTCCGATTGGTTACTGTAGCGTGCCCCATGCCTCAGGGTTGAACTTCCCTTCTCCTATTGGTTACTGTAGTGTGCCGAGTGCCTCAAGGCTGACCTTCCCTTCTCCTATTGGTTACTGTAGCGTGCCGCGTGCCTCAAGGCTGACCTTCCCTTCCCCTATTGGTTACTGTAGCGTGCCTCAAGGCTGAACTTCCCTTCTCCTATTGGTTACTGTAGTGTGGCGCGTGCCTCAAGGATGACCTTCCCTTCTCCTATTGGTTACTGTAGGTGCCGCGTGCCTCAAGGCTGAACTTCCCTTCTCCTACTGGTTACTGTAGCGTGCCGCATGCCTCAAGGCTGAACTTCCCTTCGCCTATTGGTTACTGTAGGTGCCGCATGCCTCAAGACTGAACTTCCCTTCTCCTATTGGTCACTGCAGCGTGCCGTGTGCCTCAAGGCTGAACTTCCCTTCTCCTATTGGTTACTGTACTGTACCGCGTGCCAACACAGACAACCTCATTTGATTCTCACATCCATAAGAATTGTTGACACCCCACTTCTTACCCCACACACATTTCCTAGAAAGTCAGACGTGAAACTGGGAGCAAGGTGGCTCCATATGATAAACACTGGACTGTGAACCACAAGGTCCATGGTTTGAACTGGCCAGCCATTCCACGTGAGAAACAGAAGGATTTCTGCTCCCATGAAGATTTAAAGCCTCAGAAACCTTACATAGAATCGATATGAGTCAGAACCAACTCAACTGCATTTAACCACAACAAGAAAACGTGAAACCAGGTCCCTAACCCGGACAATTAGGTTCATCCCAAAGCCTATATTCAACTTCTCTTATTGTTAAAATGAAAGATAGCTTTGTTTGTTTGTTTGTTTTTAAAGGGAGAGAAAAAGATATGCCTTTTAAAAAATGCTTTCAAAGTCTTCAATGTATCATATACACAAGACAAGGTAGCAAATTTACAAAACAACAACAAAAAAAAACCAGACGAAAGTATAAGAATCCATAGGTTTTAAAACATTGAGTATCAGACAATGGACAGTGATTCCTGAAAGACAGGAAACAAAAAAGGTGAGACCTACAATTGTCCCAACTTACTGCTTGAGAGCACTTCCAGGTCATAGGGCAGGGAAGGGGAACTGAGATGGGCCATGAGTTGTGGAAACCGAGCTGAGAGTCCAAGGAGACCAAGGCACCTAGTGTCTGTGGAACAGAACACCCGCAAGGGGAGAGCTACATAGCTAGAACCCTGGGGATCTGCAGAAGTTTTCCCTTGAGTGTTCACTAAAGTACTCCTCAGAACAAGAGTGTGAGGAAACTCCCCAACGCTGAGGAAAGAACATTTCACAAGGATTAGAGAGAACAGTGGCAGGCACCCACACAAAGCCTGCCTGTGTCTACCAGCCAGACAGGAAAAGCTCAAATCCAGGGCGCTCTGGGTAGAGCACTCACAAACATCTTGCATCAGTGAGCGCTGCTTAGAATCTGCTTGGAATCAAATTGTTTCGATGTAACTTAACTGTATCCCAGAACAAAGTTCAAGAAGATTAAACAGACTCTAAAAATACCCATCACACAAGGCAAAATTCACAACATCGCATACCTAATCCAAGATCAGAAGGCATGACGAGACAGAAAACCATGACCCGTAATGACGAGAATGGAGTCCTGCTGTGGCTCTGTGACATAAAGCACTGGACCGCAAGGTCAGTTTGAACCACAAGGTCAGCAGTTCAAACTCACCAGCTGCTCCTTGGAAATCCTATACAAGGTCTCTATGAGTCGAAACCAAACCAACTCGATGGCACTTAACAACAATTAAGAGAATAATCAATCAACTGACACCCGCTCAGAACTGAACACAGCTGTTAGAATTAGCAAAGAGCATTAAAACAGTTATTATAATTGTATTCCATATGTTGAAGTACTTATGTAGAACCAGAAAATATATATTTTTTAAAACTGAGTCAAACATATTAAGAGGATAATAAAATATTATAAAACAACCCTGTGCCAAGAAAGTCAGCTACTTAGATGAAATGGACAAATTCCTTGAAACACACATATATCAAAGTTCACTCAAAAAGAAACACAGAACTCAAATAATGTATCTTTTAAAGAAACTGAAATTATAGTTTAAAATCTTCCCACAAAGAAAAAATGCAAATACAAATAGCTTCACTGGTGAATCCTAGTGAATGTTTAAGGAAAAATAATATTAATTCTATACAAATCACTCTCAAACATTTGAAGATGAAGAAATATCTCCCAACTGTGCTATAAGAACAGTATTAATGCTGATCCCCAAACCAGACAAAGGCATAAGAAAACTGTACACTAATATATATGATGAACATACATGTAACAAATCTGAACAATATTTTAGCATATTATGAGGATAATATATCCTAACTTAGTATTGTTGTTGTTAAGTGCTCAAGTCAGTTCTGACTCATATCAATCCTATATATAGGGTTTTCCAGGCTGTAAATCTTTACAGTATCAGAAAGCCTCATCTTTCTCCTGCCATCCTGACCTTGTACATTCAAAATCCATCGATGTAATCCACCATATTAACAAAGCTAGACAAGTAGTAGATGACTAGGACCAGAATTTCTGTGAACCTCTGAAGAAGCAATGAGGAAGGAGGCCAATCTACAGAGGAGGGGAAGAAGCCACTCTCCAGATCTATCAGAGTAAAAGCAGTAACAAATCATTAAAGAAATCAATCTAAGGAGCTCTGGTGGCGTAGTGAGGTACACACTGGCCTGCTAAATGCAAGGTCAGCAGTTCGAGTTCACCAGCTGCTTCTCAGGAGAACAATGAGACTTTCTGCCCCTGTAAGTATTTACAGCCTCGGGAATCCTCTACAGGGTCGCTATGAGTGGAAACTGGCATTACTTCCTCAAGTAGTAAAGTAAAGCTTCTAAAGTACTTGTCAGAACACCTGGCACAACATAAACATTGATTGGAAGCGTTAATTAGGCTTGTTAGCAAGACTGCACTGAACGATACAACAAATATTTAAAATGGTTTTTATCAGGTTTTTAAAATGTACAATATTCAAGGAGCTCTGGTAGCGTAGTGGATACAAGTCGGGCTGATAATCTCAAGGTCGGCAGTTCGAAACTACCAGCAGTTTCGTGGGAGAAAGAGAAGGCTATCTGCTCCTGTAAAGATTTACAGCCTCAGGAAACCGTATGCAGGGGTACTATGAGTTGGAACCGACTCCACGGCACACTGCCACTGTAAGGACCAAACTGATTTTGCCTACCTAGAAACTGCTTGACTAAACTCTAGTCAGGCTCAGGAAAGCATTTTAAATAGACAAGGCCTCAGTTATTAGTTCCCTCCAAAGGCAAGGTCAATCTCCATTCTGTACATTAGCCTGAACACGTACTCTAGCTCCAAGAATATGATATATGTATAAATAGCCAG